AACAGTCGCCTATTTTCTTAACTTATGACAATTTCCATCAGATATTGAGGAGCGTTTATGTCATACAGAGCCTTGATTATGTTTGCCCACTTTGCTGAGTTAAAGGCATTCTTCACATCCAGGGTGACTAGCGCACAATATGTTTTTGATCTACCTTTCCATCGCTTGCCACGCGTAGTAGCATGTCGCGGTCATAAAGCCTTTTTCATAAAGCCGTTTTGTCTCTCTGATAATCCGCCGGCTTTCTGGATTTCTATCTCCAGCGGTTTCTAACTATGCCTTCATATACTTTGCCAATAGTGTCAAGCATGTACAGAGGTCGATATGAAGATGCTTCCTCCGGATTTTTTTTTTGGTTTAGGAAGTAGAACAATGCGCTTTTGGGTTGTTGTGCTTTGTTTTTGAATTTTGACATACATATCCTGAGACTTCAGCAATAATAGCCACGTGGTCACTATTTGTAAGTATGTCCGACACCGCCCACTTAATATGCCTATGGAACCTTTGTTTTATTTTTGAAAAGTATTTTCCGTTCCGCTATTCAGGATCGTAAGATTCGTTTGGCCGAGGAATTCAAGTATCATATGCCCACAATGGTTTGTGCGCCTGCGATTATAATTGGTGCTTTGCCTCTGGTTTTTAGAGAAGTTCCAGGAGGAATTCTTCAAAATCTGTAATTAAGGCGCTGAAAGGTGCTTAGCAGCTAACAAAGTATATGCCACGTATGCCACAGTTGTGATATCTGGAGCGAGATATAAATGGTTGTGGTCCAAGTGCTTTCCGAACGCTGGGAGTGTTGTTCGCTTAATAAAGCGACATCTGTGGTTTTTTTTTTTTTTCAAATGATGTCTGTTCAAGCAGGCCTTGTGCTGCAGCGCAATGATTTAGATTTAATTGCAATATCTTCATTTTCCTAAAGATTTCGCATCTCCAAATACTTGGGGCAAATGTGCTAGTTACATATATATGTATGTATGTATATCAGTTAGTGTACTAGTTATTTTAATTAAATTGAGAGAACGTGTTTTCTTGTTTTCTAATAACAGTATATCTTTGTGACTTAACTAGATAATATATAGTAAAAGCTTGCCCTAGCTCCCATATGACTAATATGTTACTAAAAGTTAGTACCCTTCAACATAAATTAGTAAGATAATATACATATAATTTTGTAACATTTTTTAATAGAAAAGTTTTGCCAGCGCCTCGACTTTGGTCCTGGCAAGTTGCAAGACAAAGAAATGTTAACTTAGCCCTTCTTATTTTACTTATTTTCATTAGCGAAATTATTTCGTAATTGATTATTTCGAAGGAGTGAGTTATTCTGAAAAAATATATTTAGGACCTGATAAGAACCACCTTTTTAAATTGCTTGAGGCACAAATATATTTTCCAAGAATTAATTACCAAGCACTTTGTGGTTAAAAATATAACATAGAAATATTTTTAGTAATTTCGCAAATTTTTTTTTGTCGAATAATAATAACCGCAAATGCTATTTCGAGGAAAACTTATTTAGAAGCTTGTCGCTTTGTAATAATAATTTTAAAAATGTGGGTAATATTATTTAAAATCAATCAGCGATTAAATTTTTTAAATTTTGAACTCACTTGTTCCCTTAGCCGATCTCTAGGAGGACCTCCAAAAAAGGATGTTTGGCGGAGAGCAAAACTTTTCTGCTTAAAATGAACCGAAATCCTACAACAAAAAAAATTATTACGGAATCAATTGTATCCTAAAAGTATGTGTTGCAGTGGTTAAATATCTGATTTCAAAATTTTAAATTTTTTAAAAATGTAACTTTTTTAAACTAAATTTTTCAAGACGTGCTACCACAGAGAACGTGTATTATTTATTATACGTTCTCTGGCTACCATTGAAACAAATATCTAATCCCCTATTTACTTTTTTAAGTATTGCCTACATTTACGCGCAAAAGTTATTGAATATAAAAATGGTTGTCTTATTCTTCAAAATGTAAGATTTACATAGATTACTAGATTCTATGTATGTTCTTCTTAGATTACTTCTTGTGAGGTTATTTGAAGTCATAGGCCTTTAGCAATGAACCAGACTCTCTTCATGACTATTGAACATTATATTAATGACATTAGACTTGTTCATCGAAATCATTCCTGCGAAAGAAGTCGTGCAGGTCATTTCATTGACTCAGAACTTAATGGTATTAATTGCATTTCACAATAAATAACAAAATTTGACATTTCTAAATAAATAGTGTATTTTTTAAATTTTTTTTTAAGAAATCACTTTTATTGGAAACCCCTATATATGAAATTATTTATAATGTTGCACATTATTGTATATTATATTCGAACCTGTTGCCATTGCTTCCATGGGATTTCAATTCCTTATATTCGCATTGTTGTTGCAATTGTAATACATAATTTAATTGTCGCCGCGTCTTCGCTCTCACATTCGCTCCCCATTTGCGCAGCCATCAACATACATACATACACATGCGCATGTGCAAATCAATATAAATATCCCAACAATTGACTTTCACTTTCGTTTGACGTTCGATCGGCCGCTGTCGATTGCTGTCGGAATTCGCCGGCGAATGAAGTAATTATTGAATTAATAGTCGTCATGTCTGATTATTGTTGTTATTGTTGTTCCTACTATTGCCTCCGCGGCTACACTGATTATTTTGCTGTGTTTACATACGCATACAAACATACATACATATCTACAACGCCGTTTGAGTAGCAAATCGGAATTTTTTATTTATTATGATTTGTTATTGTTTGTCTGGTGTATTACCTCATAGTAAGCAGACGTTCGTTACGTGCACACACACACATACTATATATATGCATAATGTTTGTTCACACTCATGCAAACTACACATTCATACTTATTATCTTTTGTTGATTTTATTGTGTTTGTTTAGCGAAAGCGAACTTTTTCGCTCATTACTCGGGGGATTCGCTATCATAACATACTACGTGTGCACATACATACATAAGTATGTAGGTATGTACATATGTGCAATAAATAATCGCGTGACTCTTTATTTTATGCTTGCATTCGCATTTTCGGGAGATTTTATTTTGACACACAAACAAACAATGTAAGTTATTACATGTTGCTCTTTTGGTGGAAAGGTTAAGGTCAGCACTGTTTCCGGTGTGGAATTTAACGTAGTAATTTCGCACATTGTTTTTGTCTTATGCGGGTAAATTAACAAGTTATAATATCAAAGTTAATACAAAAATTATAAAAATTATATGTACATATGCATGCAAAACAGAGTCTAAAAGGTCGTTTTATTATTATTGTAAATTAAGCATTATATTAGATAGGTTTGGATTACAAATTCCACATGCAAATAAATGTGTGGAAATTTCCCGTCATAATTAGATTCAGTTAAAAATGAACTTGATTAAAATAATCTTTCCTGTAGACATATTATATTTTTCACGTTATAGTTCAGGGTAATAAATATAATGTATCTACAAGCAGACATACTTATGTAATCTACATATGTACATATGTACATACATACATATATCATTTAGACGTCAGTTTTCTATTGTAAACTCAAAAACAGACGGAAACCAATATAACTTTTTTGTGTTTCTGGTGAAGTTTCGTCAATTTTCTAAATGTGCTAATGCGAATTATATTTCTATCTTAGTTCAAAACTATTACTACTATATTGTTGTTATCAGGGAATTTTGAGTATCTAACGTTACACTACAAAAAGTAAATTAGCTTTGGCGAAGAACAAAGATGGCAGCTACATATGTGATGTAGGCTCCAAACTTTTTAGTTTGGACAATAATTCATACCGAATTTCTTAAAGATATCTCGTAAGAATAACAATCCCTGCAGGTCAGGAATATATGTAAGCTAAGTTCTAAAAAGCGTCGTTATACATTCAAAGTTTTCCATATATGTGTGTACATATATTGCGACAGAAAAGTACACAGAAATTGTGAATGAAATGCAAAATATTCAATTATTCATCAGTTATTTATTTTGTCGCCTTTAAAGTAATTGCCACCAGATGTAATACAAATATGCCAACGATTTTGCCAGTTCTCGAAACACTTTTCATAAGCACATCAGCAACTACATCGATCTCTTGGTCGACGGAAAGTGAGTTCCACGGAGCGGCAACTTCAGCATGGGGACAAGAAAAAATCACACGGAGGCAAATCTGGTGAAAACGGTGGTTGATCGAAGGTAGTCATTGCGTGTTTGGCTTTCGGTCACAATCTCGGCTCGATGCAATAGTGCATTATCATCGTGTAAGATCCGTGTTTCACAATTCCGCTCGTTTTCCAAGGATGCCTCAGTACAGCTAAATAGAACTCCTTACTGACCCTCTGGAGGGACAGAACAAGTTCATGATGTCCAAACCAAGAATATCGTAATAAACAATGAGCATCACCTTTATTTTTGAGCGGTTTAGGCGTTTTTTTTTTTTTTTTTTTTGTTTCGCCTCTTTGTCTCCTCCATTACGATAATTGTTGACCTGTTTTTTGTCCCGTTTGTGTGATCGGAATTCACACGATGAAGCATGTCCAAAGAGACCTAAAAATATTCAGTTTTATCGGGACGAGTACAGCAAGAAAACGTTTCATTTCCACCAAAATCATTCGAACGGTCCACCGAGGGGTGTCGAGTTCTTTTGCCATCTCTCTAACAATTGCCTGACGATCTTGAAGTAACATATCCTAATATTTTTTTAATTTTTTTTTTTCATCCGTTGAAGAAGGCAAAGGTCGTTCAGAACGAGCCATGTCTTCAACGATCTCTTAACCGTCTTTGAAGGCTAAAAATCGTAACTCACTACTGAGGTGTACCGACTTAAGCAACTGCTGTAAACAAACTAATTGACGGATCGCCCTCATATTGACACAGTAATTAAAGACAGTCCTACAACATAGCAGAATAGCATTTATTGTTTTCATTAAGAACACCATAACTTATTTTACCATATTTTAATTCAACACTTTTACGTTTTTTCGCAGATACCACACTGACCAAGGAGCTATGGACCAGCAATTCTGTCTACGCTGGAACAATCACCCGACGAACTTAACTGGCGTGCTAACCTCGTTGCTGCAGAGGGAGGCACTATGTGATGTGACGCTGGCATGCGACGGTGAAACAGTCAAGGTATTTAAAGCTCTTAAAATATTAATTATTATCTGCAATAACACCACGATATTTGATTTACTTTCAACGGCACAGGCGCATCAAACGATTCTATCAGCATGCAGCCCATATTTCGAGACAATTTTCCTGCAAAACCGCCATCCACATCCTATCATCTATTTAAAAGATGTCAGATACTCAGAAATGCGCTCCCTGCTCGACTTCATGTACAAAGGCGAAGTCAATGTCGGTCAGAGTTCGCTGCCGATGTTCCTCAAAACAGCCGAGAGTCTACAGGTAAGCCCAAATATTTTACTCTTTCACTTCTGACCGAATAAATTCTCTAAAATTTTAACTTATTCCTCAAAGGTTCGTGGCTTAACGGACAACAACAACCTCAATTATCGCACGGAACACCGCGATTCGCCCATATCCTCGCCCACCGGCCGTACACCGTACAGTAGCGGCGGTCTCGGTGGTGGCGGCAGTGGCGGTAGCGAATGTGAGCCACGCGAACGCGATCAACAGTTACGTGGTCGTGCCACCGAACGCGATATGCGCGACGAAATGCATTCACATCGCAGTAGCAGCAGTTTGAGCGAACGCAATGCCGCCGCCGCTGCAGCAGCAGCAGCTGCCACCGCAAATGTGGGTAGTGTGAGTGCCAGTCTACAATCCGCAGCAGCAGCATTGGGTTTAGGAGAACGTTCGCCAATTACAGCGGCCGCAATGGCAGCCGCAGTAGCGGCTGCGGCCACACGCAGTGCCAGCGCCGATCCGCTTGGCGGTTCGACGAATACAGCCTGCTCCGGTGGCAGTGTCAGCGGTGCTGGTGGCATATTAAACAGTCGCAACAGCGATGCGAATAGTGAGCGCAGTGTTAGCGGTGGCGGTGGTGCCGGCAATGGGGCCAGTAGTGGCGATCGCAGTAGCAGCATTGGACGCGAACGCGCCGATAGTCGTGATGAACTCATGCAGCTAGACTATAGTAACAAGGATAACAGAGATCGTGATAGAGAGATGTCCACCACGCCGGTGGAGCATATAGGTAGTAATAAGCGAAGACGTAAGAACTCATCCAACTGTGATAATTCGTTGACCTCGACGCATAACGCAAATGTACAGGACAGGCACTACACTCAGGATTCTCAGGTGAGTCAAAGATGAAAATATAAGGAGTTACGTAACGAATTAGGCTGTCTTACCACGATTTCAACATTTCTCTATTAAGAAATTTCCTATTGTCTGCAGTGAGTCTGATATTTTTAGGCTTCTGTGACGAAAATAACGGCATTTAGCTTGTCCCTTTAACGAATAAATTTTTTATCAGCTGATTTATAATTTAAAAATGTTATCAAAGGAGTTCAAAAAATAAATAGAGTGTCGTTGTTATCAATATTGCACTCGAATTTCTCGTGATAGTGGTTTTTCCTAAAAATGTAATTAGTCTATTTATAGATTGAAGAATTTCTGATAAAAGTAGGCAACTTCTTTTTCTCTTTATTGGAGTAAGCGGGGTTACGCTGTTATAGCTGAGTTTACAACAGCGCACCAATTCCTTCTCCACCTAGTTTTTCCAACGGAGTGAAGGCCTTCCTCTTTCATACCCATTAATTTGGATGTAGTTTTTTATTTGAAGAAATATCACAAAATTATGAACTTAAATCTTACAAAATTAGCAAGTCATCTTTGAAAGAATTCGCACGTCCAATTATAATTGCATTTCAAAGTTAAGCTGTTCTTTCGTCCCCAGAAACTAGTTCTTACACAATGAGATCTGTTCTCTGACTTCTAGAACCCCATTGTTGGTGTTCTTCCACAATGAGATCTGTTCTCTAACTTCTGGAACTCCATTGTTGATGTGACTTAACGACCTCGACTTAGGTGAAACATTAGTACAAATTGCTGGTATAGAAGAACCCCGATTTGGGTTGATATTGAAAATAGTTAAGTAAGGGATTTTTTTATTTAATAAAAAAGATAAGTAAAGGAGTACTTTTTTTATTAAAAAAAAATATTAATACCATATTCTTTCTACACAATCCATACAAAAAAATATTTAATTGTCATTTTTCGTAGGCATCCTCGCGCAGCAATTTCAAATCGAGTCCCGTGCCAAAAACTGGCAGCACGTCTGAATCGGAGGATGCCATCATCACAGGTGTTGGCGAACGACGCGATTCGCCACTCTCCGTCAGTCAATTGAGTATCAGTGGTGGAGGTCTGGGTGGCGTGGGTAGCGGTAGTGTTAGTGCGATTCCCAGTAGTATTGGTCTCAGTCATGCGCTTAGTATTAAACAAGAATTAATTGAAGCACAACAACAACAACAGCAACAGCTGCAACAACAACAACGTGAGACTCATGTACCTTTGCCAACCGAATACTTGCCGGTGAGTAATCACAAAAAAAACAGGAGAAAAAATTTAGGCTTAAATGCTTAGTATAGATCTGAGAGACTAGGAAAAAACGTTAAATATATTATTTGTGTTCTTTACGTGTGCTTCATGTTGTTAAGGAAATGTTTATAAATATGTTGCGCCGGTAGGGAAGCAAATATTATTTTAAGTTTCATAAGAGTTTTAGCAAATTTTAAGAAAGATAAGAACCGCTTCATAAAAATATATATAAAATTAAATATTAAATATCATAAAAATATATATAAAAATAATAATACAGTGTTGAAATCATTTCGTTCATAACGAAGAAAAATAAAAGCAGCAAAAAAATGTCAGCATGTTCTCATTAATATTAAATTACTACAGTTGCCTGTCAACATGTTTATAAACATTTCCAACTCTATATACATTTTTAATGTGGAATTCAGTGTAATCGTTCAAAGCCGTCATAAGAGATATCAAACTGAGCTACGTTTTAAACTATCATAAGTATATACATACAACATTTGTGTAAGCACTATCAATTGTTAAGGTTTTTTCTTTGGACCGGTACGATAGTTCCAAGTCCGGCAAATACATACTCGTACATACATATATAAAACTTTACCTAAATAATGGCTATAAAATTGTAAACTATTATTTTAAAATAAAACGTTGCATAACGCAATGCGTGAAGAAAAACCAACGGTGTAAACAACAACAAAAAATAATTGCAACAAATACAAAGAAAATGCTTGCAGCAAAAATGTCTGCTAAGCGTCGAGCAAAATTGTTTAGTACAACTTAAGAAAATGTGGAAATTCCCCAAACAGCAAGGACGAAGGATTTACGTTATTGCTTTATATAATTATTTAAACCAAAAAACAAAAAAATATTTTAATTACTGTTTATTTGATTACTGAGTAAAGACAATTCTAATCGCTAACCCTTATAGTTACTTACATTTAATGCAACTTGCGCATCGTCCGAGAAAAAGAAAAAATCTGAACAACTTTGCTTTGCTAAATACCGCACCCGACTCCTTGCTTGCTAACTCGCTCAACTGCCACACGCCCTTATACGCTCCTCCTACCTATCCCACTTCCTCACCCACTCTCTTCTCTTTACTTGTGTTTTCTTAATTTTACAGTAAACTTTTTTTCTTACATGCACGCTTTTTTTTACTAAACTTTACGAAAACTCATACTCACAGGCAGACAAACACACATGCACGAAAAGACTTAGCGGCCAGTCTCATAGCCATATAAGTAAATGCAAAAACGAAATCCTTCCTCCTCCCGAAATACTCACAAATTTGCCACTTTTCTTAAGTTGTTTTTGTTGCTATTATTTTTTATCAACATTTTTTACTTATTTCCTTTATTTTAAATATACCCCAAAACTCATTTCGACAATGCCAACGATCGGCTAAAACGAAAATCGTCGCCAACTACCGATATCAAACGCCACGAACCGCAAAACACACTCACACACACTTGAAATATAGGCGAAACGCACGACTAGGAGCGAACAGTCACCGGAGCGTCGGCGTTGTGCCACGTCGTTGCTATCAACTGCGCATGCGTCCACGCAGGCGGCGCAGCAGGAGTATGTGCGCCAACAGTTTGAATTCCTGCAGCAGCGCGAAGAACAAGAAACCCAGCAAAATCTTTTGCTGCAGCAGGCAGTGCAAGCACAGCTAAAGACTATGCAGCAGCAGCAACAGCAACTGCGCGAAAAGCACACACACAAACACCAAAATAAAACAAATTGGTACGCGACGCAAGCGCAAACGCAACTCACCGCCAGCAATCAGCCCGCGCAGCGTCTGGCCGTCGATCTCGAGCTCGCGCAGACCACCGCCACTGCGACAGCGACTATACAACGGCTACTGCAGCAACAACAACAATTTCTGCTCAACGCCACAGACAACTTTCAGCGACCGCTGACACCAGCCGACCCCAAAGCTGCCAAGTATGCGACCTACGATAACACGCCACCCGGCAAGCAATTCGGTGCCGCAGGCGTCACCGGCATGCATGCGAGCGGTAGCGGCACCACCACGAGCGGTGGCAGTTTGCGTAAAAGTGGGCGCTTTCGCTCCAATTGGCTGTTTCAATTCGATTGGTTGCAATACGATGAGATCGCGAACACAATGTTTTGCAAATTCTGCCGCAAATGGTCGAATGACATACCGGATATACGCACCTCCTTTGTGGAGGGCAATTCAAACTTCCGCCTGGAGATAGTCAATCATCACAATAAATGTAAATCCCATCGTTTGTGCTACGAACGCGAGTTGCTGGAGGTCGACAAATTACAACCACACGTTAAGGAGAGTGCGGCGAGTGACGGTAGTACGCAGAGTGGTGTTGTTGTTGGTGGTGGTAGTGGCATGCGCAGTATGTCGGTGGATGGTGAATTGGGCGCCATTTTGCGCGAGACTGTGCACAAGCGCAAGGGTGTGCCGGAAGTGATCACGATAAATGTGGGTGAGGATAGCGTGTGAAGTGCACTAAGCGCGCTCTCAGAGAGAAAAAATCCACCCAACAACCACAACTGTATACGATCTCTCATTGCTTGGTTAATTTAGTATTAAAATGTAATTTAACTATTTACTTTGAACTGCAGAAATTTCAAAATTTTGTTCTTCCATTATAATTTAAATCAAAAAGTCCTGGTTCTAATACCTTTAATGTGCAAGCAGAAAATATAGAATAAGTATGAAGCATTTTCTTTGTGAACTTGTACAGCGAATGTTACAATATTATGTAAATAAATGAAATGAAATTTGATAAAAATTTGAGTGTTGCCATTTTAGTGTGGAGTTTTATCAAATTAAAGCTTAAATTTTATGAAACCAATATACTTATTCATATCTATATATACTATATATGTGCGATTATGAGTATAAAAACCTTAACAATTGGTGTTAAATTAAATATTATAATTGTACATTCCGGCTTTAAAAAACGTTTTAGCTTTAAAAATTATGAAATCGAATATTTTTCAAATGAGATAGAAAACTATATTCAAATTGTATTGCCGTATGCCGAAGAAACAGATTTCTGTCAAAAGCTTGAAGAAATGTCACATGTAAATGTAAAGGTACCTTCACAGAAAATCATACTGAAGTTACTCCAAATTCTTAAAAGCTCATTTTTTTCTTTTTTTTTTTTTTTTTTTTTTTTTTTTTTTTGTTGAGATTTTGACCAAGCTATCTTAAAACATAAATTCGAGAGCACAAAGCTCCACAAGCTTTCAAAGCTTTTTTCTAGAAAACTACTGCTTACTCATAAGAACAATTTAGATTTAATCATATTTAAAAAAACACAATTACTTGTATTCAAGCGCAATTGCTGGTACTATCATATTCAAAATAGAGCCTTTGAAAGCTTTTTGAAATTTGTATTTTCGAAATGCTTATACTACACGAAAGTATTTAATTTACCCCCCAGATCTCAACCAAACTATCTTTAAACCTAAAATCAAGACCATAAAGCTTCACAAGCTTACAGGGCTTTTTTCTAGAAAACTGCTGCTTACTCAAAATAATATTTAAAATACTTATTTCCAAGCGAAATTGCTGCTACTAACATATTCGAAAAAGAGCCTTTGAAGCTTTTTGAGAAGTTTATTTTCGAAATGTTTATACTTCACGCAAGTAATTAATTTACCCCCCAGATTTCGACCAAACTATCTTGAAGCGTACATTCAAGAGCATAAAGCTTTAAAAGCTTTCAGAGCTTTTCTAAAAATCTTCATTTTCAAAATAAAGCTTTTTGAGCATACAATTTCTTAAAGCAGGGTTTCCGAAAGAGTAATAATAAAGTTACAAATATGTATAGCAGTTTTATTAAATATATCACAAGCAGAGTTTCAATTTAATTTAACCTAATTTATTCAATTCAAAAATCAGTTACACAGTTTTTACACTTAAATTTAAACACTCACAATTTGTATAGAAATAAATTTTTTATGGTCTGTTTTTAACGGCAGAATTTTAAACGCATATTTTCAAGTATTTTCCATTAAATTCATACAATAATGTTAAATTTTCTATATTATCCTAAAAATTCGACAAAACCAATTCAGCCCGGTGCACTGAAGCTACACTCCGAGGAAATGTCTCAGCTATTATCCTCACATGGCCTACAGCAAGAGAGTCGAGAGGATCAGAACGATGGTAAACAGCTACCACTGGATCAGTCGGATAACATTGATGGTGAGTACAAAAGTGCCGTTTGTGCTTAATTATTTTTGTGTTTCTTTTTTGTTTTTTTTTTTTGCTTTTACACACTCTCTCTATATATCTCTCTTGTCAATCGCTCATGCAATTGACGCTTTACTGTACTATATATAAATCAAACTCAACCACTTAGAAAGTTATACCCGTCCTCTTTGAATTAAATAAAATAAATTCCCCCCTTTTTACAACTGACACCTGAACTTACCACAGGCTTCTTTAGTTTGCAAGTGAAAACATTTAAACTATTTTACATAAGATTATTAACGTTCTATTGCAGTTAATAAAGTTAAAAAAAATTAGTATATTAATTATAGCATTGAATGTATGTAAAAAGTCAAAAAACAAACACAGTAAAAACATCGTTTTGTTTACTTTCTCATTTGTAGTAGTTACATAATACTAGTGTTTGATTTATTTCCTTTTGCGTTAAACTTTCTGTTTGTTATTAGTTTGTATAGTCAAACCTTTTAATTTTAGTTAGCATTTCATAATATACTACATATATATAATATTGGCATATAGTTTGAAAACAATTTCTCTAATACTAATTATTTTTATGAAAAAAACAATTAAATAAATAAATCGATAAACGAAAGTAGATGTGTTGCAAAGAAAAAAACAATAGAAATTGTTGCAACAAACAACAATTCAATGTTTAAAGAAAGCAGTAAGCAGTAAGAAAGCGTACTTTAAAAGAAACGCTCCATAAAAATAAAAATTCCTTAATTTTTTGTTGCTGCTCGCGACCTACTAAGTGCCGTTACAGTATTACTGCGCAGCGTTACGCTCACGATATTTTCAAAAAAATTAAAATCTGTTTCAACTGTACAAACATACATAAGTTGTACAATAAATTTTATTATTTTCTCTAAATCCAACGAATTATCGCAAAAATATTTACAAATTACTTTTCACCCTCCGATTTTCGTTCATTTCCCTCCAAATAAATTTACATAATTTTAGATGCGCCCTCATCCCAAAATTTCCTATTTCTATGCTCTGCCACATACTCATACATACTTTTAACTTACATGCATACGCACATACATACAACATATGTACTTTAGTTAGCAGACGCGCGCGCGTGATTGATCTCCAGCTTCCTTTTGTTCCTTAAGAGCTCCTTCCTACTACATAACTCTTTTGTACAGGGTGTGAAGTGTAGTTGCCATTTACCGAACATTTATATACCTAATACATTGTCTTGAATTAATTAAAATACTACAATGCTATTTATATATATGTAATTATATTATTTAGAAAACTTTTAACGCTTTCTTCTACTTTACTTTTGCATGTAATAGTATTACTTTCTCCTTGGTTTAAAGCCAAATATTTTTTTTTTAATTAGAATAAATAAATTATAAAATTCCATATTTTTTTTATTAAATAAAAAAAAACTTTTTATTAAATAAAAAAAATTGGTGTTATTTTGTCATTTTCTGAGTAACACAGAGGCATGGAATTCGGCCATAGCCGATTATGGTATACACAACACAGTTACAACACTGACACATTAAGGGGGAGAAGTGTCATAAAACACTAAAAGTTGTACAAAATTAACTATGGGAAAATATATTAAATATTCTTATATAACTATTCTATTCGGGTAAAAACCTAATCCCCGCCAATCAATGTGAATATGTACAATAATCTGACTCGTTCTTCAATAATTCCTTCGTGAAAAAACAAGCTTCAATTCCAATGACTCCCTCTTCCTTGTGGCAAGCATTTTTTGATTTTGTCTGAGATCGAGAGAAAGTCGCTGGGGTCAGATATTGAGCATACGGTAATTGACAAATCAACTGGGAAGTCCATTTTATTTTGTTCGACAGTGAACTCAAATTGCACCTAAGTACTTTGCAAAGGATTATATCTCCCCCAAATTTCAAGAATGGTATGTTCAACACGTTTTTTTGAAATTTTTAGAGTAACAGCCATGATGAAGTTCTATTTGCTATAACCCAAATCAATTTTTGACTTCAGTCTAGTTCGACCACAGAATTCGTTGACTACTATGTTCATATAACCTTTACAGAATTTACCAAACTACTAACAAATACTTTGAATATTTTTTCAAGGGAAAAATTATATATATATTTTTTTTAAATAGCAAAACTCATGTCCTTTTGAATCTAGTGACGCCTTCCCATAAAGACAAAATTTTCAAACTGCCTGCTCTGTTTCGAACTCTCTCTATCTGTTCTAGCACAAATTTTCTTCAAAGATCAAAGATCTTTTTTTTTTTTGTATATGAATGAAAGAATTAAGTATTTCTAAATGCTTTAATTATTATTCCCAGTGTAAAATGTGCTGTGTATACCTTGGTTTATAATATTAAAAAAAAATAATAATAATTAGCAAAGTTAGTAAAATTTATAGCTATTTCATTTCCAAAAAATTTTCCGTAAATTTACAAAAAAGTAAGAAGCCGTAGAAATAACATTAAATTTAATGAGTTCAACACCTCTCCTACTGATTTTTTTTTTTTTTTTTTTTTGCAATTTGAAACAAACCTGATTTTTTCTAAGTGTATATTGCAAAGGCATTGCAAAATTGCAAAACTGTTAATTTATCTACACTATTATCATTTAACTTATTTTTTGTAGTTTTTTTTTATCATTCGTACAAATCAAATTCTTGGAGCGTATGAATAAATTTAGTTCCTATGCTAAAAGAGTTTGCAACCGGAGTAAAGTTTAGTAGAGCATGTTTGTTTGCATGACCCGCCTTGGCTGCTACACTTTATAAATTAGAGTATACATTACACATCAATGCGGCTTGGCTTGTTTTGATCTGCTCGAGTTTTTTAGCTACAAGTTCAATACGTGTTCTTTAGTAAAGGTTATCACATCATCACAATATCATTATTATTCCTCTTTTCTGCTTTATATGTTGTTTTTGTTATTTCTTAGTTAGATATTCTTTATTTAAATCATATATTAATAATTAAATTATTTTTTTCCGTTAATTATGTATCTATTTTATTTTAACCACATATATTCCTTCCCTTACATTTAATTTGCTTTATACCCACCATTTACCATAGACTCGGGCTAAAGTTAAAATAGGGCCTTTTCGCGAAATCCGTTAAATGAAGTGCTTAAAAAAAGCAAATAATAGCCTATGTTATCATAATTGTAAGCAGCAGTCATTAGTCAATTCAAATTATAGAATGGACTTAAAAATTTTCACAACGGCAAAGAATAACTCTTTTCATAGTGGTCGTATAACTGATCTTACTATAAAGATTGATCCATTTCGAAGTTCCCGACTTTTTTAAGAAAAAGACAGAAACTTCAAATCGAATGGGAAATGTTTATTATCATTCAATTATTATTTATTTTTTTAAAGATTATCTCTTTCAAATGTTGTCCGCGGCTACGTTTCAGATGGTTCATCCGTTTAGTCCAATTTGCGATGACACGTTCGAGCATTTCGACTGGTAACAGGTGAATGACAGGCGTGATGTTTTGACTTTAGACTTTACTTAACCTCACAGGAAAAAATCTAATAGTGAGATATCACACGATCTTGATGAAAAATAGATCAGCTCAAAACGTGAAGTTATCTGCTCACCGAAGTGTTCTGCCAATATTATTTTTGAAGAAATATGTACGGATGGTTCCGCCGGCCCACAAGGCACACTAGACCATAGTTTCTTTCTGGATGACCTGAATGATGTGTCAGCTCGTGAAGCTCTTCAGGTTGCTCTTCCTCCCAAATGTGGCAAGTTTACATACCCATTGAGCTAGATATGTGCCTCAGCGCTAAACATAATTTGACTCGGAAACATCAGATCTTTTTGCAACTTTCGAAGATGCTATAGAGCGAAACGATGTCGCTAAGGAAGCTAGAGGGGCTCAGTTCTAGTTCAGTCCGACGACGAATCAACTTTCCACGGTTTTGGTGTAGACTCTCAGCTATGGCTGCTGGTTTTCTTCACTACGTGCTGAATGTCGTTTATTCGGTCGAATATTATCCAATAATGTATGCTGGTTTTCAAGATGAGTGGTGGTGTTATGAATAGTACGCTCGAAGCTTCTTTACAGTCGGTGAATTTTCGAAATAAATTTAAGCGATTTGTAAACTTTATTCAGGCATAATTCTTTCCATGATGACATATCACACAATACTGAACGAAAACATGACAGCTTGACACGTATCACGCGGAATCTGTCAAAAAACTTCTATTGACAAATATACCTCTACTTGGATCACCCGTTATAGGTGCGTCTAGAAATCATAACTTCTAGATTTGTATATTTTCACTACAATCTTTTTTTTTATTATATGTATATGACGTTCATATTGCTTTCTTTTGGTTGGTTTAGTCGGTTTTAATTACTCAATTTGAGATGAAATGTAGTCATGTTACCGTGCCGCATTTTAAGGAAACATTTGCTGACTAGATTGAATTAAAATTAGCTGAGATTTTTCCACATTTTGTCAGGGTTTCCGTATGATTATTCTGAAACTCCTCCAACCTCGAATATACTTTTACACCACTACGATCTTACGATACTACTCATATCTAAGGCTAACGAATTTTTAAAATCGAGTTTCATTTCGGTAAAGACTTACTTAATCCGAACTTCCTTTATACAACAGGGTTTTAAGAAGAGAAAATACTAAGCATATAAGCAGTATTAACAAAGATTTTTTTGTTTTCTGTTATGCAGACTTCCATCAAATTCTATTTAACCAATTAATTACCTATCACTTGCACTTGTAATCAACACTGTTTAATTTAATCTTTATAAAATGATAATTTTTTTATTGCAATACTAACAAAGCAAAAATTTTGTTGTTAGTCCATATTCGATATTTCTGAAATATGTTTCTTATTTCTATGAGCATTGAAAAATTTTCTTAAATTTTTTTGGTAAATAAAAAACTTACTCCAAAGGAGGCTGGAGACACAAATCATTAAAAAAATCAGTAAAAATAATAAAGATATGTGATTATTAAATACGATCGATGTAGTTCATCTCGTTATAAAAAGTTTATATATTCACTTGATATACATAGATATATTGCTTTTATGATCTATTATTTATTTATTATTTTATTGCTCCCGATTTTTCAAATTACTTACCCATATTTTTTCGTAAACTATCTGACACATTGGACTTTGAAAAGTGTTGTTTAGTTAATAATCGCCCTCAATTTCATTAAGGGTATTCACGAAACATATTAGTGGTACAATAATATTAAAAAACAATTGTAAAAATATAAAATTTAAAGTCAAAAATATTTAAAGCTCACTTCTTTTTAATTATTCATAATATTTTACATACAAATATTAGATTTTTCGTACAAACGTTATTGTGAATACCCTTCTGACTAATATCATTTATACTCTTTTTGCCTTTGCACAAATGAATATTAAAGTAAAACAAAAATTTTATTTTATTTTTTAGTGTAATAGCTAATACAATTTTTAATTTATGTAAAGGTATTTTTTATTAACCTTTCATCACAACTCAAATAACTACCTCTTCCTGATTGCGTGTGCTTTTAGTGAGAACGCTCTGAAACACAATTTATTTATTTAAAAAAAAATTATGTTCCAAACTTAAGAAAACGCTCTATTAATTAAATGTCGGGGAACTTTAATCAACCGTTAATTCAAAAACAGCTAAGACGCTACCGTTTTCACAATACAGTGTGCTAAAATCATAATGAAACCAAAAGCTTTGAACTGCAAACAGTGTAACGATTCAATGCGCAAAATTGCGTAATTTCCAATATTTAATTAGCTATATCAATACCTGTCACAAAGTAGGGAGCTTTCATAATTGTAGGTATTACGATTATAATAATTATATTGAATTTGCACTTCACTAAGTTCTAAGTTCCATAAGTTTATTTCGCATCGTTTTTAAAAAATATTAATAAATATAATTCTTATAGAAAAAACAAATTAGTAAACCCCTTTAAGATCCTTAAAAATCTTTTATTTTTATTATTATGTTCACATAAATTGTTTAAAACTTTTTTCATAAAATGTCCAATCATTTCAACCAACTATTTAGTTTTGTACAAAACAATTATTTCAGTAATTTTTCGTTATCAATCGAAACCAAGTGGCAACCCTGCTCATACTATGTCACAATCGGCCTTTACCGTTATAAATAAGTTTACTTTACACACAAACATGGATGCTTCGAATTGTTTAGCAATCGTTACTTTGTTTTGTTACACCTTTCATTTAGCTTTTCCTCTTTGAGTTTGAAAATTTCATTCAAAAGCTTAATTTTTGTATACAATTAGAGCTTTGTTTTATAATAATATTTGTTACCTGGAAATCACTGCCTAGTTCATAAAAACAATTCCAACAAAAAAAAATAAGTTATTAAAAAAGAAATATATATATATAATTCAAATATATATATCTGCAAACTTAGCCCGATATATACCTTCACTACACATAATTTATTAGATAATACAATAATATATAATAGCAATTGTAGTTGATTGTCGTTAATTGCATAAATATTATATACCTTAGTTATGCTAGACTAGAACTTCCTTTACATACACACACACGCTTATATGTTTTACCTACGTTATACGCTGGAATCACAAAGAAATACATCATAACCTCAATTTGTTTAGAAAAAAAATTGAAAGCTTTTGCTTGACCATGGAATATAATTGGGTTGCTATTATAAATCCGCATTCTTTTTTTTAATTTACGCCCATTTTTATTGTATGTTTATGGCCTTATTACACGTAAAGAGTACAGTGGCGAGACAGTATTCTGGCCGAGCATGATACTCGGTCGAGAGAGTTGCTTTGGCGAGTAGAGGTTTACACGTATCTTGTTCATCTAGTTAGACAGTGAAGTTTTTCAAAGTTTTATTTACAATGTTTGGTAGAAAAAGACATTTTAAAAGAGTTTTTAATGAATTTCTACCGCATCTCATAAAATAGTATTTGCCATTTCAATTCTTTCACAATGCAAAATTCAATTGAAACTAAATAAACAACATAAAAATCGACCGAGTGGCGAGTGAAGACCGAACGCGTGTTCACATGCAACGAGCGAGTCAGTGATTTGCTCAGAAGGGGAAAAGAGTGAAGAAAAAAGAAGCACTCGGCCTAGTAAACAAAATGTGATTCTAGTGACTCTCTCGCCACTATACTCGACCACTGACTCGGGTCATTATTCGCCTTACTGTTTAAACGAAACGAGCACTCGGCCGAGTCACTGTCTCGCCGCTCTACTCGTTACGTGTGATCAAGGCATTAGTATTTCATTTCTACGCCCTGAACAGGGCGAAAATGTCAGAGAGCCTATAAGGTAACGGATTAAGCCCTGTCCATCTATCCTTTAGTATATATACGAAGTTTTTGCGGTACAGACCTGAAATTTCGCATACGTCTTTTTTTCCCCAAGAGGCTGCTCATTTGATAGATTCGCCGATCATGACTGGATTATAACCGCATTCAAAACAAATTCTGATATGGAGAACTTTATTATTTGACAAAATATCTTCCAGAAATTTGGCATAAATTTTAACAAGAACAGAGCGACTATCTCCGAACCCAATATTCAGTTTTTTATATTTTAATATCATTTAAGCAATGAAAGATTCAGCTGACAATGACACCTAATGGACACCAAATGTACTGATAGAAACCAACTCATAAGCATCTTCGTGCTAAAAAAAATTATAGATAGATGTGTGCATCTCAGTCTATCTAGAAAAGTATTTCAGAACTTTTGCTCCCCAAATCTGGAGAGTCAAGAAGGCAGTGCTGAGTTGTTTCCACCTCATCTTCTTCCATACAGCTTCTGCAGATGGCGTCTGGTAGGATTCCTAGCCTTATTGCGTGGACGTCAATAGAGCAAAAGCCCCAAAAATATGGAGAGGCTAGCCTTACTGAGGGCAAAGAGATCACTAGATCTCTTGCGATCGATCTTAGGCCAAAAGGCTTTTGCGACAGCGCATATACCGATTGTGACCCAGCGCCGGCCAAGCTTCCGCGAAGCCCAGCTATCTAGTAGTAGAATAAAAGAGGATCCCATTCTACCTAAAGCGGGTATCATCAGCTGTACAATTTCCTGCGATTCCGTTGTGGCCTGGCACTCATACCAGTCTTATTACAAAGACACCCGATAACATTGATAGCGCGGTTGGGCATTCTTTGACCAATCCTGAAAGCACTGTTAATGAGTTCAAGGCTAGCATCGCCGCTCTGCTATCTGAGTGGTAGGTCACTTCGCAGCATTAAATCTACTGCTTCATTAATAGCTGCAATATCGGCCTGGAGGACACTGCAATAGTCAGGAAGTCTGAAGCTGCAGTTGATAAAGAGCTAAAGACTGTAGACCTCTCAATTTGTTTCACCGATTTTGTCTGTCATTACTTTTTGATTACAATACATTACTTTGCCAATACAAGATTTTTCACAAACATACAAGTTTCCGCTTTCCAGTTTCATAGTTGCCAGTTTTTTTTATCAGCTTTGATATGATTACACTTTGGGTTACCTTTTATCATGAAATCCTTTCCAACTTTTGCGAATTTAGTTGCCTACGCTAGTTGTTGCCCCACCCCTCATTGTTTTCGCTATTTGAGTTTGAAGCCGACTACCTTCCCCCCGATTAGATTTGTGTTTATTTTGCGCTTTAACCAACTGTTCAATTATATTCCATGCTGAAAGTACAGAACTATACGAAACTGTAGTCACTTGCCTCTTGCCCTCAAGCGAAATATGCTAGTGCAAGCTATTATTCCAAATTATACCCGCGAGTAAGCGCTACCACATCAAATTCCACCAAAACGTTTAATTCAGTCCAACTTCCAACCATGAAAACCATGAAAGTGTCTGGTGACCGCATAATTCCCAAACTGTGATTACAGGTGATGATGGTGTTGATGGCAATGACATGCGCGTTGAAGCAAACCGAAATCATGCAGACATTAGAGCAGACGATGACGTTGGCAATTTGAATTATGACGATGAGGAAGATAATGATGACAATGAGGCGGGCGTTGATGATGACACCGAGCACGTGCATCGTCATATTGCCTATCGCCATAATAGACGGCGTGTTATACGTGCAACAGACGGCATGCAAGCGCAGCAAAGCGTCGCCGAGCATATTGATGTTGTTGATGATGAGGGTAACGCACATGATTTGTGCGGCGATGATGAGGATTACGATTACGACAATGATTGCCATAGCGATTGTGATCACAAGATATTGGACAGCAACTACAACTGTCACTACAAACGTTGTAGGCAAGAGGCGGCCATGCGCAGCCAGCAACAACAACTGTACGAGCAACATCAGCAAAACCAGCAAAAGCATTTGCAGTCACAACACTATCACCAGCAACATGTTGCCGAGATGATGTTGCACGCACGAAATGGTCCGCTGAATGATGTTATTGCGCTGACGACGGCGCCGCCGCAGCCCACATTGCCAACACATCGTCACATGCATCCCCAAACCGTAATTAATCTTGGCCGCTGTAGTAATGCTTTGGATGCGCTTTGCTCTGCCGAGGCTGCTGCAGCAGCCGCAGTGGCAGCGCTTTCGCCTGCTTCGTCGAATGCGTCGACAGCATCGGCAACACTACAGAAACAGCAGCAACAACAGCAACAATTTGCGTACGCACAGCAACAACATGCTGCTGCAGTCAACTATCAGCAACAACAACAACAGCAACAACACGCGTTAGCAACTGCTGCCAACATGGTGCAGCATCGCCATAGTCACCATCATCAACAGCTGCAGCAACAACAACACCCTTTACAAAGCATTCATACACAAGCGAACAATGACACTACCGGCAGCGACAACAACACCTGTCTCTTATACACATCTAGATGTGTATAAGAGACAGGCTGCCAACATGGTGCAGCATCGCCATAGTCACCATCATCAACAGCTGCAGCAACAACAACACCCTTTACAAAGCATTCATACACAAGCGAACAATGACACTACCGGCAGCGACAACAACACCACACAGTTGCAACTAATTGCCACGAACTCCCACCCATCCACCGTTGCCAACAGCGCAAACTCGGCCGCCGCCGCCGCCGCTGCAGCCGCAGCCAATCGTCGCGACCACAATATCGACTACTCCACGCTCTTCGTGCAATTGTCGGGCACGCTGCCCACTTTGTATCGCTGCGTCAGCTGCAACAAGATCGTATCGAATCGTTGGCATCACGCCAACATTCATCGGCCTCAGAGTCATGAGTGTCCTGTCTGCGGGCAAAAGTTTACGCGTCGAGACAACATGAAAGCCCACTGTAAAATAAAACACGCCGACATTAAAGATCGTTTCTTCAGTCATTATGTACATATGTGATCAATTTTTTATGTGGTCAAATAAACAGTTAAACTATTTATCTAATCCGATTAATGGCACACAAACACTTGCAAAAAAAATCAACAGGCTCACACACCCAAAGGACACAAAATGCATAATAAGCCAACATTGATTTGCTCATACAAAGGCCGCACATTTCGATTTAATTTCATCACAACTGAACTGCTCTCTATAGAAATACAATTAGTGTGTTTGCCGGATTCATAAATCTCCTTGTATATTATAGACTTAATTTTGTATATCTTTAGACGACAAGTGAAATAAAGCAGGTTCTTTTATAGCGGTAGCTCATGAGTCTTGATTCAAAAAAATTTTTTTTTTTAAATGAAGCATACCTTTAGGCATTATACTTTAATTATTAATTTTCAATCCTTTTAAATTGATTGTTTTGAAACAGCTATGCGGTGAGGCTCGACATAAGATTTACATTTAGCTGTTTTTGGGTCAGTAATGCCATGCTGTTACCAAAAACTATACAGTTAAATGCAAAAACTTCGGAAAAGAAACATCCCTTTAGGCATTTTTCTTTGATATACAAGTAAAGAAATATATTTTTAGGCGAAATTTCCATTGTTTATTTAATTTTTAATTGGTTGCTTGCAAATACGTCCTCAATATCTAAACGATACATACCTTTCGGCGTTTTCTTTGAATTAAAAGAAAAGAATAATATCTCATGGCATTATTTTTCGAAATTAACATGGTTTATTTAATTATTATTTCAATCGAATTTACGAATTCACTTTAATAGACATTTATTAAATATCTTTTTTCCGCCACTCTGAGATTTTTAAAATTAAACAAAAGCTATTAAAATAAAAAAAAATCGACGTTTTCTGAAGAGCGATCTGTAAACGTTGCAAAAAAATTTTCTGTTAGCACCTGCCTAGGAGGAAAAGAGCACTTTAGGAGAGTGAAGTGAAGAAATCATACAACTTCAGTTATGGCGGCAATATAAGTTCGGTTGCCTGCCTTAATGAGCACTTCAAAGTTCTGTACACACTAAAACAAGCTATACATAAACTAAATACTGTAGTACATTTCAATATTTTCTTAGCAATCAACTAAGATATCTTTAAATTTTCCTCATAAATATGCAAAATGTATGTATTTATTATATATGTAGTTGTAAATCTAAAAAAAACACAGCAAGAAACCAAAGAACTCACCAAAAATCCCTACAAATATTATATGTATCATAAGATTATGATGGATTTTCGTGTAATCTGAAAGTAATTAGCAAGAACTCAGTTTAATTAGTATTAAAACTTCAACGACAAAGCGATTGTAACAAAACAAAGTACGAGTATTAACCCACCCGAGCAAATTGTGGATTCTTTAGTAGACTGTAGTATTGCATATTTACCATTAGTATTTATTTTTACTAAACGAAAGTGGACAACGAGTTAAAGTGAACATTTATCAAATATATATTTTTTTCTTATGTTAGCTGTTAAATAATTTAAATTTCACGTAGACGCCAATAAACAAACAATTTTACAAACTCGCGTGTGACTCGTGTTGTCATACAATTGAGACGAATATGTACCGTTAAGCGCTGATAATCTTTGTAGTATTTTTTACCATTTCAATACCTTTAAAACAATATTTGAACAAAGCAAAACAAGTATTATGTAATTTAGTAATTCCAAAACGAAAGCGAACGCGTGCGCGATAAGTTAACACTTCTAGTAGTGAGTCAATATTAACACTTTAAGTCCTGCCATATTTAGTTGTTAGTAAGTTAATTGCAAAGTGACTGTTTAGTTGAATTTATTAATAAAATAAATATTTTCTGCGCATAAACAAAGAGCTGAATGCATTTCTTTTCGTCGAAATCATGTCTGTAAATGTGCGAAAATGTTGCCAAATAATTGATAAAAAAAAATATGCCTTCGTGGAATTTATATTAATTGTGTGTAGCTTTCTACTAGGAAAATAGCCAAAGTGCTCTTGAATATGCAGCTTAAACATGGATGAAACTGTTTACACACATTTTGTAGGCATTGTAAAGCGAAAGCATACTTCAGAATCTTTTTATTATTACTTAATGGTATCCGTATTACAAGTTCGGTCTTACTGTACAAGGTATGTTCAGAAAACAACGGGAATTTTAAAATAACATTTCGTGGGTAATATTTTCAGTTGAATTCATTGTTTACAGTAGGTTTGTAACTCCTGTTAGATCTTTTTCATGAGCTCGGCGATTATCGTTTGTTAAAGCATACCTTTAGGCGCATTGTTGTTTGTTCGCGAATTCTTGGCCAAAAACAATAGTGCAACGATAATTCAGCCTCTAAATTCGACAGCCAAGGCCCTTTATGACATTTTTTCTATTTTCAAAAGTTAAAAGAACCTTAAATGATCGTATTTTTACCGCCATAGATGACATTAAAAGAGCTTGTCTGTGCTTAAAGTGAAAACATTGATGTATGTAGGTGACTGAATAAATTTTTTTTTTCACAAAATGAAAATTCCCCTTATTTATTGAACACACCTCGTATACCATTTTTCTTTTTAATTTATCTAGGCAACAGCAGTGAAAAAAGGGTTTCAACATATGTGTGTAAACAAATGGACTTTTTCTCGCATTGAAGCACACAAAATTTTAATAAATACATTATACAGTAAATAGTTCTTCCGTTAGACACAAAATAATAATGTTTGTATGTAGATTACTAAAAGAAATATGAGATGAAAATAAAAAATTTATGAATATTAAAAAATCTACACAAAAATGAGCATATATTTTTCTTAGAAACACCCTCTCTCTCTCTCTACACTTTCGGGTAACAGAAGTTATGAAGCTGAATAGACGCTTTAAAAAGCTTTTGGTTTGATTTTAAAGTTATAATTTGAGATATGGCAATATATAAACAAAAGTCTAAAAATATAATAAAAATAAAAATTATAAAAAATAAATTTAAAGAATTTAATTCAAATTAAAAAACAAATTTAAAAAAATTAAAACAAAAAAAACAGTTTTTATTTATTAATTTCACACTAAAAGTCGCACGCAATCTTCACAAGCTACAAACCGTATTCTTCGCACTCTGTTTCAACTGAGAAGTGTTTTTAGTCTCCTCTGCTAGGTGTTGAACTCTTGCACAATATTATTTAGAGCATTTCTATGGCATATGTAGCTTTTAATAAATTTTGCGTAAGCAACTTAGCCATATGTATGTATATGTAAAATAACACAACAGGTTTTGCGATATCAACAGTTTCTTTTTAAACTTCAATGGGTAAGTGTGAAAACTTTCTGCAGCTTTGTACGATTCTACTTTCGTTTATAACACTGTCTATCAACTAATCGAATAGAAAACAAAAGAATATGAAATCGAAAATATTACTTTTCAAATACTTATATAAACAACTTTAAAACTTTCAGTAAATTTTAAGTGCCCCAAAAAAAAATTAACACTCTCTAGGTTATGTGTATCTTAAGGTATAACATACAATTGCTATATATATATATGTATATTATTTATTTACTACTTTTGTTCTTCCTCTGCCATTTGTGACCACCGTAGTAACAAATGTGCGAAAAATTTATATAAATAGAATTTTCTTCAACAAAAAAATTTTTATGACAAAATTTCGAAAACAAAAATATGGAAAACCAGGAATTGGCCGACAAATTTGAAAATTGTTTAGCTAACGATGAAAACACTAAAACAACAATAACACAAATTCTCTATACTATTTAAAAATCTAACCTTAAGAACCGAAAAAAATTACCTGTTTTTTGCCCACTTTAGATTTTAAACTTTCTCTCATGCATATGTAAACACACGCACACATACATTTTATAAGACTTTTTTGCAGCAAGGAGGGGTGTTGAAATAAAAAACGCTAACTAAATATCAAACTTATGTCACGTATACATACATACATGCATATATGTACATATAAATGAACCTCTACAAATCCCTGTCTATTTGTCCCTTGGGAAAACACTTTCGATAAAAATAAAATTTGGAACGAAAATTCCATAATTTTTAGTGTTTTCGTAGAAGTTATGTATGAAAACGGCGTGTAAAAATAAAACGAGTATCAAATGAAGCAAATAAATTTTCTAGTTTAAAACGTGATTAGAGAAGAATGAAAAAAAAATTACAAAAAATAAATAAATAAGAAAATGTTGTGTTATATGCTGTCTCTTATACACATCTAGATGTGTATAAGAGACAGGTTTTAAACTATTATTTTTACTTCATTTTTAATAGCTATAGATTTTCTGATATAAATTTAGGCGATCTAAATCCTTGATTTACGAAACTCTAGCTAATTCCAATACTTACTTCGACAGTTTTTATTAATCCCAATATGAGAAGTTGTTAACTAATATAAAAAATATTTTATTCTCTACACACATGCATACATATGTACATTTTATATAATATTAATTACAATAACAATGTCCTTATTCATATTAACACACATAAACGATTTTATCACAAACTTGAAAACGCATAACTGTAAATACGTTCCACATACACACATATTACCAACCACTTAAAATAAATAATATTTAACAATGAACTATTAATAAAAGCAACTATAGTAAAAATTGCTTAAGTGGCGGTTAACAAGCGAATATTTGTTAAGGTATTGATTAAAGTGAAACCAAATACTATAAAGACAATAAAAAATATTAAATTATATATCTAAACAAAATACCAAAAAGTTTAAAACATGTAAAACTTGAAAAAAAAAAATTATAATATTATATATTATATAACATATATTATATGTCCTCTCTGCTTCTGGCGGTAGGAAAGCGCATTACATGCAAAAGAATTACACTTACACATACACATAAAAATATTTGCATACACATCCCATTATTGCACATCACATCATAGCCAACTAAAATTCCAGCACCTAATAAAGAAATATAATAAATGAAAGGAAATATGTATTTACTAAGGTTTTGGTAATAAAAATCGAATTTAACAAGAATTTTGCTGTGAGCAAAGTAACAAAGCAACCTTAAAATATGCATACTTTATATTTTAAATCCCCAACAAATGTAAAATATTAAAAAATTTTACTCATGTAACTATTGATTGGCAACTACATACATACATACATACTTATTTACATACACACATTTGCATTGTTTTCATTAAACATATTTTTTTTTTAATATTATTAATTTAAAATTACGCCATGCGCACGCGTTATTTACTTTAACTTTACTTTCTCTTCTCCTACTTTCATTTTTTTCTTAATGTTTCATATATACTATTTAAAGTATATACCCACTTAAGCTCATTTAAGTACTCATATGATAATCAGTAATGACAACGAACGCGATTTATGTAGGTAGCTTGGAATAATCTTGTCAAGAACAATCCAAGAATCAATATAAACCAGCGTTTCCATTATTAATTACAAAATTCTACTAATTTTTCTTAAAATTTCCACTAAATAATTATACACATGAGATATAAAATAAGAAAATAGGGTAGGTTATTCATAGGATCGTTAGTTCTTCTTGTATATAAATACTTAATTTGTATATATACTTAATTTTCAAGCAAATTATCATTATTCTAAAAATATAAAAAATCACCAATAATAATGAAGCCAAAATTTATATCGATATCGTTCCCAAGCCCCAATGTTTACTACCATGTACGTTAATATGGAAGCTAATCAAACCTCTACATATATAATCACAAGATGAACTATTCAAAAATAAAGCTTTTATAAGGTAACAATATTAAAATGAAACTCATAAATTTTATAACTCATTTATTACAAATCAAATTATTAACGAGAATTTACTGACAGCAAAACAATATCAATAGGTCTCTCCCTCCCAAACATCCTTATTACTACTTTGTAAATCAAAAAGTGATCTTAACGATATTACTCGATCGAAAGCTTTAGCTAACTTTTGACAAGAAGAGAGAGAGATTTAACGTCAAAAAAAGAAATTTAAAAGCAGCGCTGAAATCCATTTTTAAGTAATGACAACTAAAGTTGCTGTATTCGTACAGTAATCATAATTATTGCGGTGCCGTTATTCCGATAAAGCTTGTTAGTATAAGATGAGCGATACTACAAAATAAGGCTTTTTTAAATCATTACTGCAGTGTTACGGTTCACTTCTTGCACTGTAGCCGAGGAGTACAACCATTGAAGTTATATATGAAAGCACAAAAGCTCCTCAGAACTACATATGAAAGCTCAAAAGCGAAGTGGACTAAAAAGCTGCAAATTTTTACACTAAATTGACTCAGTTTAGCCAAATTTCATTGCTTGAAGCAATTAATTTGCTATTTTTCACTTATCATAATTTAGATCAATTTTTGTATTATTTTTGGGAGCATATAACAGGGTCAAATAATCAACATTAAGGAGACCATCGAATTTATATAATATTAAGTTGCCGAAAAAGAAGCGAAATTTACTAAACTTCAAGATTTCTTAACAAACAATAATTCACTCAATTGTTTTTCTGACGAGTTTTATAGTTTAATACTAAGTCAAGAGTTCAATTAGGAATGTAAATATTATGTTTTGATTAGTGTCACTGTGTTTTCCATTTTACTCATAATTTTATGTAACACTATTAAAAAGGTTCTCAAAATGAAAAACTTAATTATCTTACATTCCGAACTAACACCTCGTCTGTCTTCGATTCGCCAAGCTTTTAAGCGTAGTGAATCAAGGAGACAGATATTAGATCTAGTCAATTACAGGTTTTAAATATTTTTTCTCGGTAAATTATATTATTTTATAAAAGAAAAAATAGCATTATTAAATAATAAATAATCAACTTGACTTGACAGAAACTTAAAACAAAATTAAAATTAATTAATTCTTGGGTTTATCCATTTGCAATTGAGCTCTTTGTGGTGACCATTACTAATCTTTTAAGATTCATACAAAATCAGTCGAATAGAAATATGAGCTTTA